TGCTGAATCGACTTCAGCCTGTATCACCTGGTGATGCAGGCGCTGGTCATGAACACTCGTGTCTTCACAGAGTACGACTCGGTGTCTCGTACTCTCCTGATACGGATGACGGATCCGTATCGACGGCAATTGAATCCAAGCCGCCTGCCAAGCGTGGCATGGACGATGCTTTGCGTCGCAGCATCTTTGGTTCATCTGATGAGTCAGATGAACCATCGCCGAAGCGAAGGCGCTCGAGGTCGCGAGACTCGGGCGCTAATAGTGGTGTCGGTTCTCCTATGGACACCACTTCACAGCGAGGTGCCAGTACTTCTGTCGGCACGTCGCAGGAAGAGCGGGACCGCAATGTGTTGCGTCTCGCTCCAGAAAAGAAGGCATGGATGCCTCCTAAATCTGTCATGGATCACTTGTCGGCGACGACGAGTGATCGTTATCGAACACGATTGTTCGATTCGTCAAGAGATTCATCACCTTGACCCCAGCGCGAAAGACTATCGCGCTGAACATGAATTCTTCATCGATGCTTTCTTCAGACATCGATGGTACAGTGGGAATCACAAACGTGATGGTCCCTCACTACTTCAGGCGTGGAACGCCTACATCCATAATCTCGAGGATGTAGGTCGTGACGCTTGGAACGACAAACTTATCAAAGCTCGTGATAAGTTTGAAAAGCGAACCCCGACAGGTGCACGCTACAAGCTGCATCGTCTGTCAAGGGAGAAAGGATTACCCTGCCTCTCTTGGGAGACTCGTGCCCATGTTGTGTGAACAACTCTGCACGAGCACCTAAGGAGGCTTACCTCCTTACCAGCCCGTGGTGGCGTGTACGTGTCTCTACTGAGATGTACGAAGGGATTGACAACCTGAAATCCCTTTACGACCGTGCCGGGAAGACTTTCTCCGGCGGTCCTTCTGCGGCACAGGATGTGTCGCGTCGTACTGCTCGACCAGACCCAGTACGTCAACCATCAATTGGGAGCGGGGCTCCCAAGAATCCCAGGACGGGGGATAGCCGCGCCACCGGACGAGGGTAACTCGTCCGACGTCCGTTCACGTCGCGGTGGTTCAACAGCTGCTCTACTAGATAGCGCTGGCCACCGCGAGAGTCCTCTAATGGAGGTGGAGGAGGAGGAAAGACGCTCTCCACACGATCATGTGGATCGGTGTGTTCCCGAGAGCTTCTTTGATCGCGTAACGCAAGGGGTTACGCGACGATCTCGAGCATGAGCGGAATAGGCGTCTCCAGATGGTGGACACTGCCTCGAAGCATCGAGCTGAGTTTGCCTTTGCTCAGCTTGAGAACGAGAGATCTCTGACATCTCTTCGTGACGAGCTAAGGGTAGCTCGTGGGATTGTTGATCGGTCTCGGGCTGAGATAACTGCTCTTCAGACCCTTGTTGATGCCCACCATCGGGAGCACAAGGCTCTCTGCGAGATGCTTGAGCGCAAGGGCGTTCTTCATCGGAAGAAGCAGCGTACTGATGGTACGGCTTAAGCCGACCAACGTAAAACGTGGGATGCGTTCGCATCTTACGTGGTAACTCGATCGTGTATGCATTGCCTAGGCGGTGCAATACACGAAATGGGCCAATGTACTTGGGTAGTAGTTTACTGCTACCCAAGTTAGTCACTACATGTTTTGGTAGATTAACCGTAGACAGTAGGACTAAGTCACCTTTATTAAATAAAAGAGTGTTTGCCCTTCCATTCTTGTCAGCGTTTTGCTTTTGCTTATCCACCGCTTCGGCGATGGAGTCTTGCACAAAACGGACTACCGTTTCACGAGCCAGTATGAACTCATCTGATGACTCGTTAGCTTCAGTGTGCTGTGAGCGCACTGCAGCAACAACAACCTTTTCTTCAGTGAGGGCTTCCGCACTCTCACTGGGATCATTGTCTTCAGTGAGGGCTTCCGCACTCTCACTGGCATCATCTTCTTCGATATCGATGTTATCGATATCGGCATCAAACGCAATGACTTCTTCGTCAGAGCGTGATGAGCGTGAACCAAATCGGTTTTTGCTCGCGCGAGTCCCTCCCCCTTAAACCAGAGTTACACTCTAGTAAGGTGGGTACACGCGGATGGCGCAAGCCATTCACGTAAAACGGTGTATGTGTCGTGGACGCATGCACCGAGTTGATTGATGGCAAACTCTACCATTGGCAAAAACTCACTCCAACTCTTAAAGGAGTGTACGTATCCTCGAAGTATCTCTTCAAGGACACGATTGGCACGTTCCGTCTGACCATCTGACTCTGGATGATCAGATGTCGACATCTTCAAGCGCGTTCCGAGTGATTTGAACACGGAGCGCCAGAAATCAGCAGTGAATCGTGGATCTCTGTCTGATACGAGTTCACGGGGCAACCCATGAAGTCGGAAGATGGTGTCAATAAAGACACAAGCACAGCCACTTGCCGTGATTGTCTCTGGTACAGCCACAAGGTGTACCATTTTGCTGAATCTGTCAACAAATACGAGAATACCCGTATTCCCGCGTGCGTCTTTGGGTAACCCGAAGACGAAATCCATTGAGATGGATTCCCAGCACTCAGCCGGAACCGGTAGAGGCTGTAAAGGTGCACGCAGTGAAGGACTTGACTTCACTCGTTGGCAGACTTCGCATGCGCGAACATACTTTCGCACAAACTGATACTGGCGGGGCCAGTAAAAGTCTCGACTTACCGTGAGATATGTTTTCTCTCGGCCACGATGTCCTCCTATAGGAGCATCGTGATACTCGAACATGATCCGCAAACGCAGATCAATATCATCTGGAATGACAACACGTGGTGTGTCACCAGAAACGGCTGTATAGTACAGTAAACCGTTACGAGTAGTGTATCGATCTGATGCAGATCGATACGCGAACGACAATCGTTTCAACGATTCTCGGGATGGTTGGGAGAGATGTGACAACAACTTCACTATCTCACCATCTTGGGCGTATGCCCGCCTCACATCATCATACAACATTGTAGATGGGACTGAGGACGTCATAACCGCAACAGTGACTGTCTCACTGTTGGGTTTCGCGACTGTTTCAAAGTCGGGACGACGTGAGAGTGCATCAGCGACGACATTAAGTCGTCCTGGTTTGTACTCGACCGTAAAGTTGTATTCTGCAAAGAATGACAACCACCGCGCCATTCGTTGTGTGTGCGGGCTGTTCACTGCCGTGCGTAAGGACGCATGGTCAGTGTAAACAACGAAGGGTCTATCTCCTAATAGATAGACTCTGAACTTCGCGAGTGCATACTTCATGGCAAGGAGTTCCTTGTCATGCACTGGATAGTTCCGCTCAGCTGGTTGCAGCTGACGCGACTGATAGCAGAACGACGCGTTCAACGCCTTCAAGGTCGTACTGCATTAATGCACAGCCGATTGCGAAATCGCTGGCATCACAGACCACATGAAATGGCCTGTCCTGATCGGCTATTGCTAGGACTGGGGATTGTATCAAGCTCTGCTTGATACCCTCAAAGGAGCGTTGACATTCAGCGTTCCATAACCACCTCTCGTTCTTTTTCAACAAACGAGAGAGGTGTACAGTCATCTCGGCGTAATTGCGTGAATACTTATGCAAATACGCCGCTAGCCCAAGGAATTTTCGAAGACCTTTGACATCGACCGGCACAGGCCAGTCGGTGATCGCCTTGATCTTTTCGGGATCAGGACGTACACCGTTCTTACCAACGATGCACCCAAGAAGTGGTATTTCGCTTGCTGCAAATATACACTTCTTGAGGTTAGCATACAATTGATGCTTTCGCATGATTGTAAGAACTTGTCGGACGTGGTACCTGTGAACCTCAACGTCCGACTTTCCATCCATAGCTCGACTATGGATGAATACGTCATCGAAATAACTCGGCGCGAACTCTCGTACTGGTCTCAACAGATGTGATACACATCTGTTGAACGTGGCAGGGGCATTACTGAGCCCTTGTGGCATTACTAGCCATTCCCAGAGCATGCCGCTAGGCGTGCTAACTGCGGTATAGGGTATATCCCGTTCCCGCATTAGGATTTGATAGAAGCCATCCATCAAATCCATGGACGAAAAGATGGTACTCTTTGACATACCATCAATGATTACGTCCTTCCTCGGTATCGGCGTCTGAGCCGGTACCGTTGCAGCGTTCAATTTGTTAAACGCGTGCACTATCCGCCACCCTCCTGTTGCTTTTCGCACACAGAAGGTCGGAGAGCTATGTGGGGAAGTTGATTCCCTCACATGGCCCGCTGCTAAACGATCGGCAAAGAACTTGTCGATCGCAAGTACTTGTTCACGAGGCAGTGGCCACTGCTTCATGACACAGTACTTCGAGCCTGGTTTAAGCTCGACTTCGTGTCGAATACCTTTATCCTTCGGTAATTCGCACGGAACAGTTTCAGGGAATACATCCTTGAATTCAACCAAATCTTCATAGAGAGGATTTTCCTTGAGCGATTCCCATGATTGGGACTCATATCGCTCAATTCGTGTCTTTTCATCTAGGACACTCTCGTCCATAGATGAACTACTGAGAACTCTCTCTCGTTCTCAGTAAACACTGTTGCTGACCTTATGTCGGTTACATACTCGTCGTCAGCGACGAGTATGCAGATCTGCTTGACTTTGCCACTACGCAGATCACGCAAGAACCTTTATGTTCGAGCGTTGGCAACTGAGTGATCTCCGAAGTTAACTTCGGAGGCGCAATCAGATCAAGTGTATAAGCGCCTACACATGATCCGTTATTGACTATGACATTCAATGTCTCTGTCATTTCCTGGGGACTTATTCCCTCAGGCTTCGAAGGACTTATTCCTTCGTCTTCCCGGGGACTTATTCCCGCGGGTTTCGGGGAACTTATTTCCGCCGTATTTGTAATCTTGGGACTTATTCCCTTTACTTCCTCTAGCTGGGGTTGCGCAACCACAGCGAGATCCTCTACGAAAGACTCTCCAGTCGATCTAGGATTATCGTTTCGCTTAACCTGAGCGATCGATTGTTTCTCTTCTAGATGTTCCCCTCCAGGGATACATCTTTGTCCCAGTCCACCCGACTTATTCGAGTGGTGGACCTTCGGCGCAGCCTGTGTTTCCTCACAGCCGCCGGAACTTTGCTCCGAAGTGTAACCGTTTGGTACACTAAGGTTTTTTGCAGTCGTACTAACGACCGTACCACAAGTGAGGCCATCGCACTCACTCGTAGTACATCCACACGCTTGTGGACGCTCCAAAACGTTCATCAGATGGCCATCTGATGAACAAGCGGCAGGCATCGTTACTGTCCGATGTTGCCAGTTTACTCATGGTTCGTACCTTCTGAGCCACGGTATTCCAAGGATGACATCAAATTTGTCATCCAAATCCAATACGATAAAGTCATCGTCATATTGGGTATCTTCTAGCGTATAGTGAATCTTCACTATACGCTTCATGACGGTTGCGGATGCGCCTGTCGCAAGACGTACCGTCATCCTCGTAGGAGGTGTGTCACATTCACTGAATTTAAAGTGACCATATTCTAGCGATTGGCGTCGCACAAAATTGTTGGACGCCCCACAATCGACTAGAGCTCGAAGGGACAACTTATTCGTCACTTCGAGTTTCAAGGTAATGAGTGAGATCTCATTACCTAGAGCAGCAACGCACAACGTCTGTGTGTTGGGAGCAACCTTCATCAAGAGGCCTACAAATTCTCTTGACGTTGCTGGATCAGTAGGGTGCTCCGCACCTACTGATCCTGTCCGTTTTTTGACGGTCCATCCCGTTGTTGCGTCTTTGCACCAACTGCGGACCCTCGTCCCTGCCCCTTTCTCATGGGTGGACGGTCACTACGCCCAGTGTCGCGAGACACTGGACGAGGGGCACTACACTCGTAAGCGTAGTGTCCTGTCTTTTGACATCTGTTGCATCTCTGCAACTTCTTGTAGCCTGTAGAGCGAGCCTTCTCGCTCTCTACATAACAGAGTTCCATCGGCTCTGGACCTCCGTTGTCATATCGTCTCGGTTGACGATATGATGTCGAGCTGGCGCGAGCCTGTCTCAGACTGAAGTCTTCCTGCTCCGCAATTGAAATGGCTTGTTCTAGTGAATCTAGTTCAAGCCGGAACAGGTGAGTCTTGACGGGACCATCCGCAAGACCCTGCATGAACACCGAAACCAACGTGTGTTCATCCACCGGATTGGAACTTATACAACTCGTGAGATGTCGTATATGTTGAGCGTAAGCGTG